AGTTGCCAACAGTAAACCTTCGGAGGTCTGTGAGCAGACCTACGGCAGGCTCGCGTCGCGCCCATTTACACGTTGGTGTGTGACACAGCGGGGATCGCTCGACCTTGAACGATCCGCTTGTTTCCGAAATCACAGATCGTTCAATACCGAACGATTCAAGGTCGCCGGCGGCGCTCAACAGTGAAGGCCGGCGGCGGGGTCGCCGCCAGTCGACACGGCGCGCACCCTGCCGGAATTTCCTCCTTGGTGCGCAACAGAAACGTCGCGCCAAGGGCGGGAGCCGCCGCGCGGGGAGAACTCTCTCAAGGGCGGGGGGGGGGGAGCGCACTTCCGGCCCTGGTCCTCCGACTGAGCCTCGAACAGGAACGGGAGCAGGGTCGAGGACCTGATGCGGTTGCCTCCCCTCGCCTCCACTGCACGGGAGGGTCTGATGCGGCTGCCTCCCCTCGCCTCCACTGCACGGTTCCATCGCCGTGCCCTCCCTTGCCAGCCTTTCGTGAAGGGACTCCATCCATCGCGGATCTTCTGAACGCATACAACCTTGGGTGCTCATGCGCCTACTCCTGCTCCAGCTTCTCCTACTCCATCTCCTCCTCCTCCTCCTCCTCTTTCTCCTCCTCATCCTCCTCAGTATCCTCCCCCTTCCTCCTCGGTATCATCCTCCTTCTTCTCCCTCCGCATGGGTATCCTCCTCCCCGTCCTCTGCTTCCTCCTCCTCCTTTTCCTCCTCCTGCTCCTCGTGTGCTCGTCGTGTGGTGCCGCCCGACACTCCCGAGCAGCCTCTGCCACGGGGGCGGAGCCTGGTCGTGTGGAGGGAGACTCCTGCCTCTAGCCCCCCCCCCACACGTGCGGCAGCACGGTCTGGCCGCGGGGATGTGGATGTTGGAGGCTTGGAGATGGACACCAACATCAAAACAGGGGGGAACATCCGCTGGGGGAGGACGATCTCAGATTTCGGTCTTGGTGGTAATCATTCGGCCGCCTGGGAAGCCCGAGTATCACCACCATCGCCGAGATCGGGATCATCTTCTTTCGGTGAGAGCACACCGCCGATTGCTGGTGTTGGTGCCAACCTCTGAACATCCGAGGATGAGGAGTCTCCCCCCCTCTGCTCAGGCCTTACTTCGTTTCCTCTGTGTACTGCTTGAAGCAAGGCGCTGGTGAAGGGGCCCTGGGACACACAAATAAATAAACACGAATAACAGGATTCACAATATTTTCCCATATATTCTAGGTTTGTGTCTTCCCCCCACTTCCCATATTTCCCATATTTTCTGGGGAATCGACGATCAAGTGTGTCTGTGCGTTTTTTCTTTAACTGAACTGAGAACTTTTGCGGCTGCACTCGCAGACCTCGCCGGCGAGTCCCACGCTGCCGGCGCTGCTGGTCTGTGGCGGAGCCGCGGAGGCCAAACATTCCTCCACCCTCTTCTGGGGAAACGGAAGGCACGGATACCGCTAAAGTCAACCCGTGTAATACAGTATTCGGCCTGACCTAAGGAACGATAAATAAGGAACAAAGCCCTTTTTTTCCCAAGTAAGTCTAGGAAGTCCGAAGGAACACCAGGGGGGCTCGCCGCAAAAAAGGTAGCGGAACGCATGCAAACCAAAGGAACGCCCGAGCCACTTTTGACAAGCAAGTGTTCCTTATTCAAGCTGGACCCCTTTAAGGATGCGCGGCAAGGATGCAAAGGACTTGGAAAGCCATCCTGACGTTTTTCGGACGGGGCTGGCCAGCGAAAAATGCCAGGGATGGGCCTAAGGGGCAAAAATGCAACGGCAACCCGGGAAAACTCATTCGGTGATCTTCTGACCCGGGTCAGTCTAGACCTGGGTCGGCCAAGCCTTGCAGAACCCTGCAAGATCTTGCAAGATCCCGCACCCAAACCCAAGTCAATGCGAAGGATCCTGCAGGATCCTGCAGGACCCTGCGCCCAAGCCCGGGTTAGTGCGCTCCTGGCCCTGCAGGATCCTGCAAGATCGGGCGCTCTGGCTGGCCCCCGTTTGCACTGACCCCCGTCTCAGGGCTCCCGAAGAGATGATGATATGATGATGATGATGATGATGAGGAGGAGGAGGAGGAGAAGGAGGAGGAGGAGGAGGAGGAGAGGGATGAGGGGGAGGGGGAGGAGGGCAAGCCAGGTGCGCTCGCGTCATATCTGACATCCTACCTCTTCCTCCCACCCCTTACCATGGCGTAGATTTTTTTTATACTCGCACAGTCGGATGTTGAGCAGGGCAATGATCCCGAAAGGGTACGCGATGCATTGTAGAGCACGGCATGACATGGCGTAGAAGAGCACCGCAAAGCTTAGTATGTCACAGCATGGCGTGGCGTGGCGTAGTGAAGAATTGCATCACAAAGCTTTGCAACGCAAAGCATGGCATCGCACAGCGGCCCCGAACCTAACATTGCATAGCATGGCGTTGAAGGTCAAAGCGTAGCATAGCATAGCATGACGTGGCACTTACGCACTGGATATGGCAGCTGCAGCTGAAGGCATGGCATCGCGCAGCGGAACGCAACCTAGCATTGCATTGCATGCCGTGGCATGGCACGGTAAATGAGGCCAGCGCTGCAGCGGGAGCACGATTCGGAACGAGCGGAAGCGCGGAAATGAGGCCAGCGCTGCAACTGCAGCGGGAGCACGATTCGGAACGAGCGGAAGCGCGGAAATGAGGCCAGTGCTGCAGCGGGAGCACGATTCGGAACGAGCGGAAGCGCGGAAATGAGGCCAGCACTGCAGCGGGAGCACGATTCGGAACGAGCGGAAGCCCGAAAATTAAGCCCGCGCCTCAGCGAGAGCACCATTTGGGAAAAAACCTGAGCGAGAACCCAACTCCGGGAAATCCTGTGTGCAAACAAAACCGTACGCGGAGGGGTGCCCGCTATCTTCCGCACGCCATCAGGGGATGGAGGAGAGTAGTATTCATATTGTGTAATTGTGGAGGGGGACGAGGGGGAGGAGGAGGAGGAGGGGGAGGAGGAGGAGGGGGAGGAGGAGGAGGAGGAGGAGGAGGAGGAGGAGGAGGAGGAGGAGGAGGAGGAGGAGGAGCTCCCGACTCATGCGGGTTGACTGTGCTCCGGGGACCTCTGCCTGGGTGCGTTCGGACCCGAGGAACTCCTAGCCGACTCTGGCCGTGGCGACGAGGGCCTTCCCAGGAGGGCGAACCAGGGGCAAGCGAGCGAGTGGCAGCGGTATCGACACCCTTTTGGGCGGCGAGCCTGGGGGGAAGTGCAAAAAGAGGCGAGCCTTCTTGGAAGGCTTGGAAGTCCTCTGGCCTTCCCCGAAGACGCGGGACGCTGCTCAGAAGGCGCGAGGGCCTCTGAAAAGCCCCGTCGCCTTCGGAGAATGGAAGAAGACATAAGCTTTTGGCGCTCCGCGCGAATTCCTTGGATCTGCGCTGGACCCCCCTCCCTGGCGCGCGGACCGCGCCAGGGGCGGCGCTGGAGACGCCGCTGGGGGGGCCAAGCGCGGATCCGAGAAACCCACGCGGAGCGCCAAAAGTTCATGTCCTGGGCGTTTTGCCAACTTCGAGAGAAGGCCTTTTCGATGTCACTTCCCCCCCCCGCTCGCAGCCGACTCTTCCTCTTCTGAAATGTATTACTTCCCCTCCCGCCCCGCTCTCGACCCGAGGAACCTCGGGGACCTGCTGACCAGGGTCAATCCGGACCCAGGTCAGTCAGGCCTTGCAAACTCCTGCAAGATCCTGCAGGATCCTGCACCCAAGCCCGGGTCAATGCGAAGGATCCTGCAGGATCCTGCACCCAAGCCCGGGTCAGAGCGCCCCTGGCCCTGCAGGATCCTGCAAGATCGGGCGCTCTGGCTGACCCCCGTTTGCATCGACCCCCGTCTCAAGGCTCCCGAGGAGATGATGATGATGATGATGATGAGGAGGAGGAGGAGGAGGAGGAGGAGGAGGAGGAGGAGAAGGAGGAGGTGGGAGGAGGAGGCGGAGAGAGGATGAGGAGGACCAGTGTTACCCCAAGAATCATCAACGATGTTGGAAGCGGCCCTCCCTCCAAGCTTCCTCTTCACAGGCTCCTACAACGGTTTACAGGAAGGTTCAAAAACAGGTGGTTCTAAACACAAAAAAATAAATTTTCTAGGTTGTCGCGTAGAGCTCGCAGCCCCGAAGTGAGGCAGAGAACATGACTAAGGTTTTGTTTTGTGTGTTTTTTGAAGAACTGTACCCGCGACGCGGCATGAAACGACACAAGGGACGCCCTGGAACAGCAGGGGGAAGATCTGGGGGAAGAACTATCGGGAGATCTGGGGAGTCTGGAATGGAACATTTGGCGCGGCTGCAAAGCGATAAACGATCTTGGGGAGATCTGAAGGGACATCTCGGAGATAATATTTGGCGGGAAGTCTGGAGGAAGATCTGGAAGGACATCCGAGGGAAGATCTGATGGACGATCGGGGCGAAACTATGGGGAATGTGCTGGGAGAGATTTGGCGGTGTAGTGCCTCGTAAATATGTAGCAAGAATTGCGGGAAGACCTGCGTGAAGATCTGGAGAAAGATCTGAGGGAAAAGATCTGGGGAAACATCTGGGGGAAGATCTGGGTGAACATCTGGAGGACGATCTTGAGGGAAACCTGGGGGGAAGATCTGAATCAATACCTGGATGACTATATATATATATATATATATATAGAAAACATACGAGAAGCTGTTCGGGACAACATCGGGAAAGATCAGAGGAAAGATCAGGGTGACGATTTGGAGGAAGATCTGGGGGAAGATCTGGCGGAACATACTGGAAAACATCCGGGGAGAGATTTGGGGAAAGATCTGGGAGACAAACTGGGGTAAGATCTGGTGGAAGATCTGGGCGAAGATCTGGAGGCTGGAGGAACATCTGGAGGAAGATCTGGAGGAAGATCTGGGAGGGGATCTGGGGGAACAGCTGGAGGAAGATCTGAAGGGACATCTGGGGGAAGATCAGGGGCAAGATCTGGGGAAAGATCCGGGGGAAGATCTGGAGGAAGATCTGGAGGAAGATCTGGTGGAAGTTTTGGGTGAGATCTGGGGGAAGATCTGGGGAACGATTTAGGGAAAGATCAAGGGGAGGATTTGGGTGGAAATTTAGGGGAAGATCTGGGGGAAGATCTGCGGAAAGATCTGTGGGGAGATGTTGGGAAAGATCTGGAGGAAGATCTGGGAAAAAATCTGGGGCAAGATCTGGGGAGAGATCTGGGGGAAAATGCTGGGGAAGAATCCGGGGGAAGATCTGGAGGAAGATCTGCCGGAAGATCTGGGGAAGATCTGGTGGAAATCTGGGGAAGGCGCGCGAGGAAAGATCTGGGTGACGATTCGGAGGAAGATTTGGGCGAAGATCTGGCGGAATATATTGGAAAACATCCGGGGAGAGATTTGGGGAAAGATCTGGG